TCTGGAATGAATTTTAGGTCTCTACGTCCATCCCATGGGGAATGGGAGCAGTAACAAAGGTGTTGCGTTTATATTTTTGTTGAGTGTATCTATTTCTAATCATCTAAACTAGTCAGTTTCAGATTAATCCAAAAATGATATTAAAGAAGTTGATGCTAACTATTACACTATTAATATATCAGTTGAAATAGTGGGAGCTTTGTACACAGTGGGCTTTAACCTGGGATTCATGGGGGTAAGTGTTTCACAGATTAACTTCTCAGGTACACCAGCACTGAAAGTTTCTACCAGAGTGGTATCGGAAGGTAGTGAGACGCTTGGAGTTTATTGACATTTCTTTTCTTTGTCTTCAGAAGGAATCAGGAAAGACTCAGAGCCTAAATTGTCCTCCATTATTGACTTGTTGCTCCATTAACGGTTTCCCTTGTGCATTACAGCTTTCAGCTCATAAATATTTCAGCATTCACAACAGCTGCAGGCAGCTGTCCTTGCTTTGAAGCTGCATTATACGGACATTGTACAACTTGCTTCGTCCAGGTCGAGCACTAGAGCATGCACACTGTAAGTTACAATTTACAGTGTGTCCTGTATCAGTGTCCTCATGCACGCACTCTCCCTCTTGCAGGTCATCTTCAGGAAGATTGCCGATGTGAGGAGGGAGCAGGCGCATCAGAGTGACGTGACTCTGTCGATTCCCGAAGACCACCCGGTTCGCAAGCTGTTCCAGAAGTTCAGACAGCACAGAGACGCTCAAACAGGAGAGTCCAACACTTACTTAGATCACAACTGCGTGCAGGTGGAGATGCAGCAGCACCCCCAGCACCACACTGACTCAAACTCTTACACTCAGCCCAGTCACTCAGCATCTCCTCAGCAGCAGCAGGAGAACACCTCAGCAGGAGGGGGGAACAATTGCAACATGCCTGAAAAGTCAGAGCAAAGGCTCACAATGGAGGCGGTGGGGTCTGCATCAAAGCCTTGTCCAGAGAGCCGGCTTGGCCAGAGCAGTGGTGCAGGTGGAGAGGGTAACGCAGGGAGCGGCAGAGGTGTGAGAGGCTGGGCAAAGTTTAGAAACGCCACATCTGCTGAGCCAGCACGTCCTCCTGTCGAGCAGGAGAAGCAGACTCAGAAAGCAGACGAGTGGCCGAAAGGATCGCAGTCCTCAGAACAGATCGCAGCCCCCAAAACGAACCACGAATCAGGGGGAGGCGGAGAGAGGGGAAGCACAGACGGCAGCAACAGCGCAGGTGAGGAAACAAGCGCCCTGCACAAAACCGACTCCTGCGACAGTGGTATCACAAAGAGCGATCCACGCATCGACCGAGCAGGAGATTCAAGAAGCTCCTTCGAGCGAAGCCCGATGGAAAGGAGCCCCATGGAGAGAAATCCATTCGAGCACAGCCTCGGGGTTTACGCCGAGGTCTCCCTCAGACACTCATTCGTGCAGCCGCTGTCTGAGCAAGCACTGCTTCAAGCGACGCTCCACGCGGCCAAGCTGGAGCTGAAAGCAGACATTCAGATACTGAGCGGGAGACTGTCGCTGCTCGAGGCTCAGGTGAGCGAGATCCTCAGGCTGCTGTCAGTAAAAAGACTCTCACTGCCGCCAGCGTCCTCTCCAAAAGCAAGACGGAAAAGTCAAGACTCGGTCACCGCCTCCAGGCCGGCTTCACCCAAAACAGACGACGAGGATCTTTAAATTTTCTCACTTAATAAAAAAAAAAAAAGAATTCGATAAGCATCGTGCATGTCCTGCTGGACTACAAGTTTTAATACTTGATTGCATGCAGAAATGTTACCTTAGCACCACAAGGATCCAGGGATTTATCTTATACTGTAGCTTTTAACTTATGAGACACTTGTGTGTGAGAGGAAGCAGGGACAAATAATTAACAACAAGCACAAGAAGGAAATGATGCTTGATGAGGTGCTTGGCAAAACATGCAAGTTTGATAAAAATAAGATGGAGTAGTTCTTTACGTTTCTGGAAGTCAGTTTACAGTTTTGAGGTTTTTTTATTTTGTTTGTTTTCTTGGTAGAAAACCTTGAAGTTCACATTTCTATTTTGTGGACAAGCTGAAGCTCAGTGAGCATTTCATCATGCACAGTGTATTATAAATACACAGCTTTATCTTATTTAGGAGGGAAATCCAGAGTTTTTGTTGCTCATCCTCAGTGGAGCGACTACCTTCCGAGTTAATTATCAGGTAATTAAATGTGCCTTACAATAGCAAAGCCTCACTGCGAGCTGTTTTGATGAAATCTAATGTTATATATACATATAAATCTATATGCATTGTCTTATTTAAAAACTCATTTCCTGTGCATGTAAAAATAAAGGACAGCAATGCAATAATGCCACTTTTACATTTTTGTTAAAGGTTTCTTTTCCTTCAGGATGCGAACATGTCACCAGGTTTTTGCAGCAGACTCATTGTGCATTTTTCTTCACGTAGCTTTGCATCTTGCTCAGGTATCTTTGTTCTCAGACTGAATTTGAACGATTTCTATTTATTAGCCATTTTGTAAGATAAATGGTACTGCATATCCTGTTTTAATCATTTAAATGATGGTTCACTATGCATATCTAAAGGGAAGGTGCACTAAACTCAGTTTGTTCATATTTTTTGGTGGTTTATGAAGCCACTGGGGAAATTCTGTGTGAACTGTAAGGGTCCAAGCATGTGACTGTTAAGTATGTCTGTTCTATGTTACGTTCAGAGACGACCTTGCATGCATCCGAGGGAGCCTGTCAACTGTGAAATGAGTAATGAAAAGTAATGCCTGCTCACCATCTGTTGTTTAGTTTCTTCTCTTATGTAACACAAAAGTCTGCCTTTAAACTGGAAAGTGCAACACGCAAGCGGGTTTCATGTCACAATGTTTTGTTTAATCCAGGTGAGTCACAGGAGGATACCGATTACAGTGGATTTACACTTGACTTTCTTTAAATATGATTTTTATTTAGCAGTTGACAAACAAAGCAACACTTTTGCACTGACTTCTGAACCATCTTTAAACATCAGTGCTAAGAGGGAGGGAGGGAGGGAGGGAGGGAGGGAGGATGGATGGATGGATGGATGGATGGATGGATGGATGGATGGATGGATGGATGGATGGATGGATGGATGGATGGATG